TGCTATACTAATGGACTTGTGGCAAAGGTATTGGGTACTTGGCGTTGGTGCGCTGATTAAGAATGCTGTCAGTAAATGTGTTGTTTGCAGAAGGTACAACGCTAAAGCTTCTCAACAAAAAATGGCATCATTGCCTACTGAACGGGTGATGAGCGATAAACCTGTATTCGATAACTCAGGTCTTGATATGTTTGGACCCTTTGAGATCAAACAAGGTCGAAGCATGGTCAAAAGATATGGACTGCTGTTTACTTGCCTGGCTACAAGAGCCATACATTTGGAGATTGTTCAGACAGCAAACACTGACTCATGCTTGAATGCTATACGCAGATTTATCTGCAGGAGAGGTATTATTTCCTCATTAAGGACAGATAATGGCACCAATTTTATAGGAGCCGAAAAAGAATTGAGAGTCGCAGTGAACGCCTGGAATGACAGTGAAATTCCTGAGTGGTTGAAGCAGATGGGTATCCGTTGGGAGTTCAACCCACCAGCCGCATCTCACTTTGGTGGGGTGTGGGAAAGACTTATCAGAACAGTGCGCAAGGTCATTAACGGAGTACTACAAGAACAATGTTTGAAACTAGATGATGAAGGAATCCGTACTTTGTTTTGCGAAGTTGAAAGTATTATCAATAGTCGGCCAATATCTACAATATCTTCAGATCCCAATGACCTACAACCATTAACTCCTAGTATGCTGCTGACATTAAAGGAAAAGGCATCAATGCCTCCGGGAATTTTTGACAGGAATGATGCTTATTCCCGAAGGCGCTGGCGCCAGGTTCAATACTTGGCAAATCTTTTCTGGGCTAGATGGCGCAAAGAATATTTGCCTATGTTGCAGAAAAGGCAGAAATGGTGCGACCCGAAAAGAAATCTCACATGTGGAGATATTGTGCTTGTAATGGACGAATCGCTACCAAGAAACAGTTGGCTACTTGGGAGAATAGTGGAAGTCAATGTAGACAGCAGTGGTTTTGTGAGATCCTGTTCTGTTAAGACTCAACATTCTGTGTTGAAGAGACCGATATCTAAACTGTGCTTGCTTTTGGAAATGGATCAAGATCGAAAGTGAATTTTGTTATGAACATGAACATTGTTGAACATTATTGCTTGTTACTGTGTTATTCTTGAAGTTAATGCATCTTTAATTTGAATAATTGTTTCACAATTAAGGGGCCGGGATGTAATGCCTAATTAACCAGATTTATAGAGGGCGTCATAACGCTGACGTATAACAAAGGTAACCATGGCGGCATTTGGAAAGAATTGTACGTAAAGTTTCTCGTACTTAATTTAGCCTGCCTTGCCATCTAGAATCTGTAGAGTTGCGAAATCTTTAATTGAAATGTCTACAAAACTTTGGTGAGTTGATTCACGCTGTATATTGATTAAAACTAAGTTAAGAATGCATAAATTTAATGTTAAGTAAACCTAGGCAAGCGAACGTATTTTACGCTATCTTTTTGTATAGATCTTTATGATTGACATTGATTGTTTGTGATTCGATGATTAGTTTTATGATAAATCATTATTTAACCAGAGTTTAAAGTAATAATGTTTAGTTGTAAGAATACTCTGATAGATGTAGATTGAGCTATCTCGATCATTTTATATGTTAATCTTTTAAGTATTGAAATACTGTTAGTTTTAAATGATGATTAAATCGATAAATGGCGATTCTTAATGTTTGAATGTGAAGGCGTACGCTAACGTCTTCTTCTTCGACGGTTGTCTCGGCAGCCGCGCGTGTACGCACGCATGTTTCCATGGACGTATAGTTGTTTACATTATTTGTATGCCTAGGCTCAGGTCTACGCTGGCTACATAAAGCATATTATTGTTATACTGAATTATAGGCAAATTTTAATTTCAAGAGATAAGATTGTCAAGGATGAATGTATTATTAATTTAAAGCTAAAATACTTTCATTCATCATTATTGTATTGCATTATGCTATTTGTATTTTATGGTTATTTCACGTTTCAGTGAATCACGTACACGTACACGTAAACGTACACGTACTCATACTCGTTGACGTTGTTCTTCTCGTATTCGATAGACGTCTTGTCATCGTCCCGTTACTACTGTTATACCATTTTTTCACCGTTTCATTTATCATCCTTTCTACGTTTGAACGATTAAATTTACATAACATCTTATGCTGATTCCATTGGTAGTAATTTTTAATTTGAAGTTGTTTCGCATTCTACACCAGCCTTCACGTTTTCAACAACCCAAAACGTGTCCTATCTGTAAACAGTGCGGTCGTCCAGACGATCGACACTTTCTTAGTCAATGTCCACATTTGCCCGAGTCAGATAGGAGGTACATTGCTAAAGCCCGACAGATCGTTGACATTATCGATGATAGTGCAGACTCTGTCGATGACCCAGTTAGTGACACGTTAGAGCCTTCTGCTCTGAGAGTTCAGGTCAGACAGTCCCCATATCTAGACGCGTTTCACCAACATCATACCGTTCGAATCACAGTCGACAGTGGGGCAACATGATATCAGTTTTCACAGCCACTGCATTAGGTGCATCCATCAAAACTAGCTCCCAGTCCGCCCATCAGGCAGACGGATCATCCCCACTCACTGTCATAGGCGAAACTTCTATTGTGTTTACTAGAGACGGCAAGGAATTTAAATTTGAAGGTCTTGTTGTCGAGAAACTCGATGTGGCCGTACTCGCGGGCACCCCATTTATGGAGTTGAATGAAATAGCCATTCGTCCAGCTAGGACACAAATAATTCTGGGCGACGGAACTACCTATGTATATGGGTCTCGTCCTATACATCCTAGTCCTCCTAGCGTGCGCCGCGCATGCGTTCTGCGCGCTCCAGAGGGAGAAACTACTATTTGGCCTGGCGAATTTTTTGAGTTAGATTTACCACCTGACTTCTCCAAGAATGATGATGTTTTTGCTCTTGAGCCTCGTGACACTTCTGCCTCGTGACACTTCTGCACTTTTAAGATCCTGGCCCCCGTACGACGTTATTTCTAGTGTAGCTGGTAGAGTCCGTATCCCCAATTTTACCAACAGGCCCCAGGTTGTAAAGCGACATGAGCATTTCTGCCAAGTTCGCCCAACCTATGTCCCACCAGCGGAGAACTCTACACCGCCTCCAAGTTACATAGCTAAGCCTATTTCTGTTTCGGCTCATTCTGATAAAGTTAAGTTGGACCCAGATAATATTGTACCCCAGGATATAAAATCAAAGTTCCATTCTGTCCTTATCGAGTACAACTCCGTCTTTGACCCTGTGATTAAGGCATACAACGGCTCAGTTGGTCCATTTCAGGCAGTAGTCAACATGGGACCCGTTCTGCTTCCTCAGCGAAAGGGTCGAGTTCCTCAGTATTCTCGTGACAAGTTGGTT